TAAAACAGTAAGATAGTATTTCACATTCATCAGAATAGCCAAAAATTACCAAGCTGTGATGAGGATGTGAAGGAAACCCTTGGTGCTGGCTGGCAGGAGCATGGACTTGTACTATCATTCTGAAGAGTGATCTCTTGGTACATGGTGAAGAAAAGTATTCACATGCACTTTGACTCAGAGATCTGCTCGTGCGTAGGTCCCCAAGAGAAACTCTAGCATAGGTTCCCAAGTGGCCATAGATAAGGACGTTCCTTGCAACACTGTTTGTGGAGGTAGTGAGTGGAAGTCACCCCAAATGAGGAGAAGAGTTCAGTAAGGTGGGATGAACGCCCAGTGCAGAATAGCATGCAGCAGTCAGGAGAGGTGAACTCGAACAAACAGCACCAGGAGAGGGTGCCGAGAGAGAACAAGAAGCAGAATCAGTTCTACAGCGAAAACATCACACACAAAGAACAGCAACATACACTTTAGGAGGTGATATTCATTCCAGGAACCCCATCAACCACAAGAGCACATGTGTCTGGGAGAAGTGCCTAACAGTAGCTAAGGGCACAGCTTCAGGAGCAGGCCACTTGGGTTCAGAGGCTGACTCTGCCACTTAACTGTCCTGTCAACTTGGGCCAGTCTCTAAAAAATAGGAGATAATAATCCGTAACTACTCTGTGAGGTTGTTGAAAGGATTAGCTGAGTTAATATAAAATAATTAAATAATGTCTGTCAGTATGAGCTCACTAAGTGGTGGTGGTGTTATTATTATCCATAACAATATGAGCCAAGGATCAAGAGTGGAAGAGAAGAAATAAAATTTAAAACAAGGTGAGGAGGGACTTGTATGTATGATGACAGTGAGCTGTTAATAGAAGAAGTGATTAACTCAACACTTTCTGTGCTGAGGTTAAAATGTACACATGCACACACACCATGTCTTCTTCCCTGAAGATGCTTAAAAAACAGTGGGAGATACTGAAAATTTCAATATACTATGGTAAAGGCAATGATAGGAAAATATATGAGGTGGCACAAGAACCCAGAGAAGGGACAGTTAGCTTAGCCTACAGGTCCACAAAGGGATTCTAAAGGATGGATGTCTTGGGGTACAGGATCATTTAGGGCCTAATATTTGAGATCTGAGTTTGGGTCACAATAAAGCCTCTTACTATTTTTAAGCATGTTATATTCCCAGAGTAATCACAACTAGAAAATATCCATGCCCTAAGAATATATTATCAGAACTCAAAGATCTCAGCAGAACCTCACCAAAACCTTAGCTAGGATTAAGCCCTTCTCAAGGTAGTTCATATATATTCTGCAAACTAATATATAGTGACAGAAAGTTTAGTGTAAATGAATCTCTAGTGACAGAAAGCAGGTCAGTGGTTGTTCAAGGATGAGGCAGGGATGGTTGGGAGTGAGGAATTGCCAAGAGTAACCAGGAATTGTGGATGTGTTCACTACCTTGACTGTGGGTAACAGTTTCACAGGTATATATATACATATATGTGTCAAAACTTATTAAATTGCACACTTTATGTGCAGTTAATGGTATGCCAGTTAAACCTCAATAAACCTGTTTCATAAAAGCGAAAGGAAAAAAATGGCATTATCAAAGCCTTGAAAAGAGTCTGAGAAATTAAGAAAAAATGGGCATAATCCCTAAAACAACTATTTTCATTTTTTCCATTTGCTTTGGTTTCTGCCCATTTGCATTCATATTTTATAAGGGTATAATGGCAGTACATACTAGCTGTTCTCAGATGTTGTCACACTGGTATGTCCTGGAGAACTGTGAGATTTCCAACTAAATTTGTTATTAATCATATCTAAAGTGCCCCAGCTTGCCAAGGTTATCTGTTTTAATATATCATATCCAAGGTTAGAGCCGTAATAATCTCAACCGTCCTCTCATGCATCTTGGTATAGTCTCTTCAGTGAGAAAGCTGGCACAGAATTTCATACAGCCCTTGGTAAATCCTTAGGAAAATGACAGACTGTATGAACCAGTGCTGTAAATACTCAGCTGTATCTTGGCAAATAACGTGTCTTAAAACTGTATCACATATGTTGCTACTTGGCCTTCATAACTGACATTTTCCTTAAATCTCAGTAAAATATACAAATGGCAATTAGTCATATGAATAAGTCTCCTTGCAATCCCTGCCCACTTCTGCCAGTACAAGTTCCTGGAGGCAACTTGTTTCTTCCTCCCTTCGTCCCTCTATCTTTCCTTGCAGCTTACTTGAGTAATATTCCCGTGTGTGTGTGTGTGTGTGTGTGTGTGTGTGTGTGTGTGTGTGTATCACATCTTTATCCATTCATCTGTGGATAGACACTTAGATTGTCTCCCTATCTTGGCCATTGTAGAAATGTAAACACAGGGGTGCATATAACTTTTGAAATATGTGATTTTGTTTTCTTCACGTAAATTTCCACAAGTGGAGTGAGTGGGTTGTATGGCAGTTCTTAATTTTTTGAGGAGCCTCCATATTGTTTTCCATAGTGGCTCTAACACTTTACATTCCCACCAACAGTGCGTGAAGGTTCCCTTTTCTCCACATCCTCATCAACACTTGTTATTTCTTGTCTTGTTGATCCTGGCCATTCTGACTAGTGTAAGGTGGTATCTCATTGTGGTTTTTATTGGCATTTCCCTGATTATTAGTGATACTGAGCATCTTTTCATGTGTCTGTTGGTCATCTGTATGTCGTCTTTGGAATAATGTCCTCTGCCCATTGATTAATCATATTATTAGTTTTCTTTTTGGTGTTGAGTTGGAGGATGTTACAGTTTTAGAAGTATTATACCTATTCTACTCTAGAGCTGTTTTCCTAGGATATGATAAAGTTTACCTGGAAACATTTTTCTCTTTTTGGTCTGACCTTTAAGCATCCTTAGATGAGAGTGAAGCTACATTTGTGTCAGAGTTCCGGGGTTAAATTACCCCTTTTCCTCTATGTGGGAAAGACAATTCTTTGTACTCTAAGCAGCTCCTCCTGACTCCTGAGTTCCCCACTGAGGCTATTAGGAACAAGAATTGTTCATGGCCACTTGTCAACTGTAGACACTGTTCTCTCTTCTCCTTTTCAGGGCTTAATATTTCCTAGCCTTGATTAATTTCATCACTTATATTCTCTTTTTATACTTAGCTGAATATTTGAGTGAAACATATCTCAAGACTTCTGTGTGCAACTCTCTTTTCTTGTGCCTTACAAACTATCCTGCAGAAAGTTCTATGTACTCTTGAAAAGAATGTGTATTCTGCTGTTTTGGGATGTAATGGTCTGTATAAATATGTTAAGACCATGTGGCCTAATGTGTCATTCAAAGCCGCTGTTTCCATATTGATTTTCTGTCTATGATCATTCCATTGATACAAGTGAGGTGTAAAGTACCTTACTGTGATTGTATAACTGTCAGATTCTCTGTGTCAATTAATATTTGCTTTATATATTTAGGTGTTCCTCCATTAGGTGTGTATTGACAAATGTTATAACTTCTTGCTGGACTGAACCATTTATCCTTGTGTAGTGTCTTTCTTTGTCTCTTCTTCTTGTCCTAACGTTTATTTTGATAAAAAATACTGCTACCCTGGCTTTAAAAAATTTCCATTGTGAAGCATCTTGTTTCCATTCCTTCACTATCAATCTGTTTCTTTAGGTGTGAAGTGAATCTTCTGTGGGCAGCATATAGATGGGTCTTGGTTTTTTAATCCATTCAGTCACCCTTTGTCTTTTGATCAGAACACTTAGTACATTTACATGTAGAGTAATTATTGATAAGAATGTCCTTACTACCATTTTGTTCAGTGCTTTCTGGTTGCTTTTGTAGTTCTCTGATTGTTCTCTCGCTTTCTCCTTTTGTGCATGATGGCTTTCTTTAGTGCTGTGCTTAGATTCATTTCTCTTCATTATTTTGTGAAGCTGTTGTGGGTTTTTGGTTTGTGGTTACCATGCATTTCGTATATGACATCCTGCGTATATAGCAGTCTGTGTTAACCTGACGGTTACTTACATTTGAACACATCCTAATAGCACTACATTTTTTTACCCTCTCTCCTGCATGTTTTATGAGTATGAAGTTTTAGTTTACACCATTTTATTTAGGGATTCCCTTAACTAATTCTTTATATGTAATTGATATTACTGCTTTCGTATTTTAACCTTCATAACAGTTTTTAAAGGACTTGTGTACTATCTTTATTATATGCTTGCATTTAGAAGAGAAAATTTTCCCATTCATAATTTTCTTCTTATCATGGCCTTTTTTTTCCTCTTAAAGAAGACCCTTTAACATTTCTTTTAGGACCAGTTGACATATTTATCTTTGAAACTCATTATCTCTCTTTGAATTCTGAATGATAACCTTAGTGGGTAGAGTGTATTCTTGGTTGTAGGTTTTTTTCCTTTTAGCACTTTGAATACACCATGCCACTCCCTTCTGACTTATTTCTGCTGAAAAATCAGCTGATAGCTTATGGGGTTTCCCTTGCATATAACTCACTGTTTTACTCTTGCTGTTTATCAGATCTTCTCTTTATTGTTATTCTTTGATATTTTAATTATTGTGTCTTGGCATGGACCTTTATGTTCATCTTGTTTGGGGTTCTGTGTACATAAACCTGGATATTTGTTTCTTTCCCAGGTTAGGGAATTTTCAGCTATTATTTCTTTAAATAATTTTTTTACACCCTTCTCTCTTCTCCTTCTAGACTCCTGTAATTTAAATATCAGAATGTTTGATGTTGTCCCAGGGGGCCTTTAACCTATCCTCATTTCTCTGTGTTCTTTTTCCTTTCTTCTCTTCAGCATGATCGCTTTCTATTACTCTGTCTTCAATATCACTGATCTGTTCTTCTGCATCCTCTAATTTGCTCTAGATTCTCTCTAGTGTATTTTTCTTTTCCTTTGTGTTCTTCAACTCTTATTGGTTCTTTTTTATACTTTCTATCTCTTTGTTGAAGTCTTCTCTTAGTTTATCCACGCTTCTCTCCAGTCCAGTGAGCATCTTTATAACAATTACTTTGAACTCTTTATCAGGTGGATTGCTTCATTCCTTTTCATTTAGTTCTTTCTGAAGTTGTGTCTTGTTTTTTCATTTGGATCATATTTCTGTTTCCTCATTTTGTTTGACTTTATGTTTTGGTTTCTATGAATTCAGTGAAATGACTACCTCCCCCACTCTTTAAGGAGCAGCCTTGTGTAGGAATGTCCCCTGGTTAGATTGTGGGTGACTTGTGGTTTTGGCTGGCTGGGTGGCTGGGGCCTGGGTGTGCATGGGCCAGGGTTGTCCTGGTGAGTGCCATCTGGGGCAGTTCACTCTGAAGTGACCAGAAGCAAGGGGGTGTGGTCCAGGGGTGTCCCAGTAAGCACTGGGCCAGGGATGCATCAGCAGGGCTGCTGGAGCCAAGGGGCTACTATCTGGGAGGGCACTGGCAGGTGTGGGGGCATGAACCAAGGAAGTCTAGGAGAATGTGCCAGTCCTGGGCATAATGACTACTAGGAATTTTCTGAAATAAGATAAAATATATTTAAAATGATATGTACACCCTTATGTTTACTGCCACATTATTTACGATAGCCAATATATGGAAGCAACCAAAAGTGTCCATAGCAGATGAATGGGTAAAGAAGAAATAGTACATATACACAATAGATTATAATTCAGCCACAAAAAGAGAGAAATCCTCCCTTTTGTAACAACACTGATGGACTTAGAGGGTATTATACTATATGAAAAAGGCAGGCAGAGAAAGACAAATATCATGATTTCACTTATATTTGGAATCTAAAAATAAAATCTAGCAAAATGAACAAAACTGCAGTAGACTCACAGACACTGATCAGTGACTGGCGGCCACCACAGCAGAGGATTTGGGGTGGGTGCTGGGCTGCATGGGGGCGGGGAAGAGACACAGAATCTCAGTCACAATATAAGGTGGTCACAGGAATGGGAGTGTGGCAGAGAGAATACAGTCAGTGGTTCTGTGACAGTTTTCTATGCTGACAGAGTAACTGCACTAGTTGGGGTGAGATTTAATAATGTGTGTAATGGTTGAATCACAATATGATATTGTATATCAACTATTTTTCTGTTGCAGTCAGAGACCGTGAAAATAAGAGACAGAGTGAGAATGAGGTTTAATGCAGAGGACTTAGACTTCCTTGGAGACCAAGCAATGAGCTAGAGTGCCCCTGTGTCTTTATTAGGTCACAGAAGGCAGTGAAATAATCATGGGTTAATAATTATTGACCGTACTTTCTCAACGGATCAACCAAACATGAACTAGATATGTTTTTTATATTCCTATTGTGTTAAATCATCTGGTTGGTGAGTTTCACAGCATGTTTCTTGTCTGGGTTTTCCACAAAAAGGATCACAGGAACTGCTAGCAGCTCCTGTTGCACAGTTTATAACTCACACCAGATTCCAGGAATTAACACTTTGTTCTTTCTATTAGGTTGTTTTTGGCTATTAATTGAACTTAAGAAGTATACACATTGTACTTTTCTCTTAGATTAGTTTTGGTTATAAATCAACCTTTAAGCAGAAACTAAACTACAGCAAAGTTAATTGCTGGGGCTTCTACATGTTTCAATTAAAAAAGGAAAATTTTTCCATGTAAAACATTATTTAATAATTGAAATTAGTATCTCCCAGAAGTGTTCAAAACAATGAAGATATGGATGAACATAATTTCCAAAGCTTCTTGGAAATTATTACTGCATTACTGATTTCATTATGGTCAGATGACTGTTCTAAAATATCATTTCTATGAATTATATTGTTCTTTTAACAAGTATTTAGTAACTTTTTATTAGAGTGTTACATTTGGTTACATATAATATTTATCCTGTGACTTTTTTCTTTGAGTTTTTTCCTATAATTTAGGCTCGGTAGTTGTCCTGTTTAACTATTTTATCACTATCAAATTTAATAGGCTTAATATGCCACTTTCTAATGGATATGTTCCAAAATATATCTTACTGATGATAAATTAACCTGGGATAAAAAAATCAAATTTCTGTGACTGAATTTAGTTGTGTCAACTTCAACCATTTTAGGAGATGAAAATACTTTTGATGGCATAATTGACAGAATATTAGCAATTACATTTTTTTTTATCCTAACACTGGTTGAGGAGGATAATAAACAAGGAAAACCAACTCTTACTCTTGAAAAGTTAACTTTCTTCTCCTCACATCCTCAGTTTCTGAGGTGTGTAGGGTTTACTAGATAATCTCTCTGGACATGTGTCCAGGTTCTACACACACTGGTTAAAGTACTACCATAAACATGCACATGATTTGGTATTTCCAACTCATTGTGAAGATGGAGATTTCCTACATTGCTGTAAGACATTTGTTTTGGGATTGAAGTCTACTGAAATAGTATTTCTATCTCAGACACTCACACTGGATTGTCATTGGCCACAGAAGCTTTTTCAGCAGTTTTTTCTCTCTTACTCTTTAAAACCAAATTCCTTGTTCATTGTAGCTGTAATGAAGTTAGTCTTTGCCATAAAATTCTCTAAGCCAACTTGTTATGCAATCTCTGATTACAATTTGGTTTTGATGATCAGTACTTTCTGCCCTATCTGTCTGGCTGTGTCTGCATCTAATGGAAGAAATAGACATGTTTCTCCTCTTTTCAAAGTCCCCAACACTAGAGAAGTGCCCATATTTTGTATGAGAAATAGCTCATGAGCTGCATACTTGCAGTAGTAAAATGACCAACACATCTAAGAGGAAACAGAGGTTGAATCTTACTCAGCTTTGATAGCACATTAAAAGTAAGCATGTTAATGTATTTCAGTTCATATCAATGGACCTCATATTCATCATTAGTCAACAGAACCTTTAAACATCATTTCTCAACACTTCCAATAAGGAGAACTTGGTTGTGATATAAAACAGATTGTTCACTGTGACTACAACTAGAGTCTGGGGAAATCCATATATTTCTCTGTGTGTGTATACATATATATATATATACCTTAAATAAAAATTTGAATGAATTACAAAGGTTTGCCTTCAAACACCAAGTAAAACAGATTGGGAGAAAATGTAAAAACAATGACAATATAACACTTACATCTAAGTGGTTCACTTCCCCCTTTTCCATGGGCTTGCATTTTAAATTACTGTAAACAGTATTGTTCTCATTTGTCTGATAGAATCCCTACACTTAGGTATTAGAAATATATGGAAATAAGGAATAGAAAACAATGTTCATAATAAATTACTGGAAATGAATAAAATGTCTCAGCTTGGGGGACAAGCTTCAAAGTCACATTTTAACATTTACTTGATGAGTTACACTGGGAACAATGTTTAATTTTTCCATCCCTCCATTTGCTCATTGAGAAAATAGGATTCAGAGCACTTACAGAGTTCTTACAGAATAAAAAACAATCCATAAAAACTGCTTAGTGTGAGCAACTCAAGTGTACATAAGTAGATGAATGGATAAAGAAGCAGTGGTGCACATATACAAGGGAGTATTATTCAGCCATAAAAAATAAAGGAATCCTATTTTTGGCAATACAGATAAACCTTAAATGTATTGTGCTCAGTGAAATAATCCAGGCAGAGAAAGAAAAATACCACATGATTTCACTTATTTGTGGAACACAAAAACAAAGCAGAACAGAATGAACAAAACAGCAGGAGACCCATAGACACTAAGAAGTGTCTAGTGGTCACCCCAGGGGAGGCATTAGGTGGGTGGAGGACAGAGGGGAGGGGATGAAGTTGTGCAAAATCTCAGTGTAATATCAGCTTATCATGGGGATGGTGGTACAACATGGAGAATATAGGCAATGATTGTGTAATATCTTCTGTGTGGAGAAATACTCAATTACACTAGTTGTGGTGAGCATTTAATAATGTAGATAACTGTCAAGTCCAGAATACATCAACTACACCACAATAAAATAGTTAACAAAAACCACACAAATACAAAAATAGAAATGATATCTCTTAATACAGTATGGACACAGTTCTTAACAACTTTCTATTATACCAATCAACAAACTTAACCTTCTCTTCACATATTGCTAAAGGAGAGGTAGTTACAATAGTTTAAAATGTTGATGACTTCATGAACTTAGATCCATTTGGCACTGTGTAACCTTGAAGAGTGAGTTTACATTTGCTGAAGTTTTAAGTTTGCCCATTTCCACAGCCACATTTACAAGGCTCCCTTGATCTCACTGTTCCTCAGACTGTACACAAGGGAGTTCAGCACAGGGGTGAAGATAGTATAAAACGCTGACAACCTTGTCATGGTTAGCTGACCTGTAGGATTGGGGTCTCATGTAGATAAATAGAGCAGCTCCAGAAAACAGTCCCACCAGAGCCAAATGTGAGGAGCAGGTGCTAAAAGCCTTTTTGCAGGCTCTGCAGAACGCATCTGGATAACAGCAGCTGGAATGGACCAAGAACATTAACACACAGCAGGTGTACATGGTGTACTCAAAGACAGACGTCAGCACAAGCCAAGTGCACCTGAGTGGGCGCTTCATGGAAGAAATGGTCAATCTCTTGAGCCCTGCAAAATGGGAAGCTCCAGTGGTAGCAGCCTGCATGAGCCCATCACCTGCCCCCAGGAACCAGGACCCCCAGGTCATT